CTGATTCAAAATTGAATACCAGTCCATTTTAGCTCACTAATGCCTAGGTATTGATTTTAATGCTATACATTTCATTTTTTGATGACTTCCAATTTTCCTAGGTTCATTAAGTCTAAGTTAAAATTACTAATGGATATTTACAGCTAATATCTCTCATTTTTATGTGCCTCATCAGCAAATGAAGGTTCCCAAATTTTACTCTGTCTATGTCATTCTAGGCAACTCTTATTTGAGGAGGCAGCTCTCCCTCAGTTGTATTTTAAGTTCCTTTCAACTGGAGGGGCTCATCTCCTGGCACTAAATCTGACAGTCTTTCACTGCAATTCACAAGATTTCCAATGACTAATTCCTCAAAATTACAGCCTACTCCTTCTTTGTCTAAGTCTGGAAGCTATGCAGAAACCAGCTCACCTTTGGTAACTCTGCTGGTATATGAAATATAAATAATATGGTTTTCAACATCACAGCAAGACTCAAGGAACTACAATAGGACAAATCTTTTCTCCAACACCACTCTACATTTATGCCGGATTCCATGAATTTGGTGCAATTGTCAAACGTAACTCACAGACAATACTCATTCACAGTCAAGGTGGTTTATTCGGGAAGTTACTAGGTTACAACAAGCAGTAAGGATAAAGTTGTTGGTTTCCTCAGCCACAAGCCAAGGGGTGGAGAGATCCTATGTAGAGGGGCTTCCATAACAGTAAATATCTATGTGAGCAGATAACCGACCCTGTGGTTAGCAGTCCAATATTTAACAGGGATTTTATTATCATATTTAATACTAAAATATAATGTTTCACTATAGAATTGGAAGCAAGGTTACAATATTGTTACCATTCCTATGCAGTTATTGTAGTGTAAGTCTGTTGTTAGGTGCTTTAATTCATAGAGATCCTCTGTTTAAAATGAAACATTGCCTCATCCAGCACGGAGTTATTGTCAATTAATATGCCCCATCCTCATCCAGCACAGAGTTATTGTAAATTAATATGCCCTGTCTAGCCAAAATTCCTCATGTGATATAATTCTAGACTGTGGGAGTTACCTAATCTGTTATCAACTTGAGATTTAAGAGTGAAAGGGTGGAATTTAGCCTGTCAATCAGGTCACAGCTTGACCTGATTTTGGAGGTGCGAAGGCTATAAATAGCTCACTGGAGGCCAGATACACTCACTCTCTGTAAGACATTACTGATGACGAGCCTGATGGAGCTACGCCGATGCAGCCAGAGTCCTGGAACTGGAGGAGCCACACAGAGACCCAAGCCAGTGCTGAGATGCTTCTACATCACTGCATCCACACACTTTCCACCCACTGACATGTGATCTTCCTGTATTCAGCATCATTGCATGTGTTTCATGAGTCTGAAGAGGAATTTATAGACTGGTATTGGGCATATGGGCCAATATCAGACTTAAGGACTTGATCTGGACTGGGCTGGGATGTTTTCTCAATATTCAATGCTCTTGAATATAAGCTCTTTCTTATACATATATGAATGTCTATGATTGTTTGGACTAATACATGGGATTTATATACACTATGCCTGTGGCTATAGTACCATTTTGGAAGACATGCTGTACTAATGGACAGGAATAGGGTAAGATAAGACTTGACTTAAGTAGAGGGTGAATCAGGCCACACTCTTTGTTTCTTTTTTTTTTTTTAAACATTTTATTAGGGGCTCATACAACTGTTATTGCAATCCATACACACATCAATTGTGTAAAACGCATTTGTATATCATTCTTTGTTTCTTTGATGACATCTTTAAGATCCAACCTTAGGACCAGTTGTGAACCAAGGCACATACTTTGTTTCTCTTGGG